TCATCCATGTAGGCAACCGATTTTGACGGAATTAGTCAGGTAATAGATGTAGTGCAACTTTACTAAGTTCAATGAGTGATGGGATGCAACTTAAAGTTCAGTTAGTGAAACGTGACACTTTGTAAAGTTCAGTGACCATTGAAACAATTAACTCCCTATAATGCTACCACAACCACCAGCAACACCACTCAAGTCGTCGCCACTCTAGCGTTACCACAACCACCAACACCAACACCATCACCATAATCACCAATTCCATAACCACCAGCATTGCCTAAAACGTCATCGCCATCAAACTGATTTATAACAGGGTCACCATCGGCACCACCTAAAGTCGTCTCCCTTTATCACAACACTGTAAAATCGAATTTCTAAGGTTCATCAAGCATGCTCAAATCAAATCCGAATACAACTGTCTCTCTACATCAACTCTAATGGTCACAACCAATCCTCCTTCGTCTCGCTACAAAGCTCTGTGCACTTAATCGACCTCATTACCCTCTACCGAAAAATCAAACTACTTTTCCAACATCAACTCCGATAATTGCTATTAGAGCTTCAGCTTTCCAGCTCAAGTTCCAGCTCTGATACCATATTGAAAATTGAAATAGAGTTGAAGATTAAAGGGGAATTCATATTACTCGAGAATGGAATGGTACGATCCGCTCATATAGATACAAAGGATGAAGCTAACTAACTAGCCAGCTAATTAACTACCTAACTTACAATTACAACAGTATCATATCTGTACATGTAACCAACTTTCAACTATACATAAAGGCACCAAAATTTAGTTACATCAGTGGTTTTGTTTTGATAAAGCTGGTGGAAAGCTGGAAGCTCTAATAATCACTATCGATCTTCCTTATTAGTCTCACTGCAAGCTCCGCCTTGTTGAACTTGACATCCTCTTCTACTGTGCTATAAAATGTGGAAGACGGTGGAAGAGAGAAAACAAAAAGAATGAGTCTGCGAGGGAAGTGAGGGTTTGGTTTAGTGGGATAATGTGGGGGTGGTATGAGGTACACCTGATTTTTTATTAAAAAAATATTGATATCTAATATTTGAAATTTACAGTTAAAAAGTACAGATTGTGGCAATTTTCTACTAAATATATATACACCACAATTTTCAATAACTAGACGGCATTTTACCTCAATCATGGTCTTCCACTCTTTGAACGTAGTAGACATATCACTTTTTTTTATTTTATTTTGAGATGAACGTCCAATTTTATTTTTGAAATAATC